GGAAGGTGTGACAAACGTAGTAAGCAATGCAAATGAGCCCGATGTGTCAGCCGAATTGTCCGGTGTACGGACGTACGACACGGAGATTGGACAATGCGTGTACAATTTCAAGGCTGTGCTATTTCAGCATTAACCGTAAGTGTGCCATATCAGTGTTCAATCAACATTCTTGACCAGCGTATGTCACTTACCAGGATCGTTTATTTTTCCGAGTCATCAGACTTTGTAATCAGTCACATTCTCTTTAAAATGATGCAAAATCTTATAGAGATTATTGATTTAATTGGGACTTAGATATAATAAAAAAGTCCATATTAAATTATGTTTACTGAATGTTGTCAATTCAGAAACATTGAACTAAACGGGTATTCGTTTGAATTGGCAAAATTACTTTAAGTGGAATTGTGACAAATTTACCAATAATAAATCAGTGGCATTTTCAGAGACTGCATTCATTAGAGTTAAATTCTATGAAGTGAAGTACTTTTTTATTAATTCAAAGATTTTCAAGGTAACGACATAATAATATGCACTGTTTCATCTACACAGAGTTTCATTACAGGGTTTTCGACAGCATAATTGTAATGCCCTCGTAACTCCAAACATCCGAGCTAATGTGAGAATGCTTGCCTGAAATTAATGAGTGCGCATAGGCATAACTTCTGCTGCGACTGTCGATTGCATTTTTATTAAAGTAATCGGAAGGCATTTTCTTGTCGTTATTCGGTGATAGTAAAATCTTGCTTCCCATTTTCATTGATGGCAGGAGAACGCCCCTGAAAGCCCTCCAAAAGTGTGCGTTATCCAACCATTTAGATGGAAATTGTTTAGACCAGAATTTGAATAAGAATCCAGATTTTGATTAAATTGCAATCAATACTACTTCCATTTGCTTCTGTGTAGTAAAGTGGTCGTTGGTGCTTTAAATATACCACTCTGATTGCTTCTGTGTCCATTCACATTAATTTAGGCCGCTGCACACTGTAACATTACCTGCACATGGGTGAACAACCCATCATTTTCCCCTCAGGTCCGTATGAGTCAACAGCCTAACCTCAATCAATGCCTAAATGCAAATGTTTGGCGTTAATTGTAGTAAGTTGAAGACGGACTTCTTGATTACTTTTAAACATCAGGGGATAATAAAGAGTACTTTGGAAATAGCAAAACATTAATAAAAACATATATATTATTTTATTGATGTAATTTGTGAAGATCATATGTATTTTACAGTCTTTTATGACTCTAAAGGGATCAGATGCTAGGTTTTAGAACACGTAACGGCAAGTCGACGTGAATTACATAGCCTCTTGGACTAGAATAGTGTACTATGGCAACTGATAAACAGCCCATTAGTTGGCACTGCACTTTGTACGAATTACAACCGGAAAGAATGAATAAAAATCAGGTTGAGGTGTTCGTGGTGCCGACACTATGTCTTATTAAACGTGCACTTATTGACACAAAGCGGTTTAGATGTGGTGATTTTGATATTTGTGATCAGCCGCGACCCAGACAGCCTCAAGAGTTCGAAGATGAGGAATTATCAGCTCTACTGAATGAAGATTCAAGGCAGATGCAACAATAACTTGCGGCTCAGATAGGAGTTACCCACATAGCTATTTCCAAGCGCTTACATTCAATGGGGAAAATTCATAAACTTGGAAGTTGAGTCCCAGATATTTTGGCCAAACACAACCTAAGTCAACGCATGAATACATGCTTCTCACTGCTTGTCCAGCAACAAAAAAGGACTTCTTGTGGAACATAGTGTCGAGAGATGAAACATATACTTTTTACGAGAGTGCCAAGCGTAAGAAGCCGTCTGTAGATCCCGGATAGCCCAATACATCGACTCCGACACAAGACATCTACTCTAAGAAGGTTCTCCTGCATATCTAGTAAAACAAACTCCTGGAAACTGGTCAGTCGGGGACTGTAAAACGCTACAATCGGCAAACTAACGAGGTAAGTGAGCGTCGTCACACTGCAACACGACGACGCTCGACCACCTCACTTTGCCCGCGCTACTTAGAGGACCCTCTTGAACTTGGAATGGGATGTTCTCCTGCGCATGGCATACTCACCAGACTTGGCTCCTTCCGACTACCAATTGTTCTGGTCAGTACATCACGACTTAGTCGATTAGAAGTTCAAAATAATGGATGGATGGCGTAAATTCGTCGATGAAGTTATTGCCTCGAAGCCCGCAAGCTACTTTCGCGACAGCATTCATGCGTTACCTGATGAGAATGAGCAAGATCATAGGAAAAGATGGACAATATTTCCAGGGCTATATTTATTGCTCTCTATTTTTATAATAAATTTGCTGAAAAAACTGTAAAAGTAATTCACACACGTAGTAGTTTTTTTCTAGTTCAGTCAAATATTAAGCATATTACAAAAACTCTTTTAATATATACCTCAGCTTCTAATCATTTCGCGTGAATTGTATTTTAGATGGTACAGACGGCGTTACACCGATTCCTCTACCATACCTCCGTGTATTTGAATATGATTTTTAGGAAAAATTCAAACTTGTTGCGCCATAAAAATTGGTTTACTCGTTGCTAAAAGTAGATCGAATTTCATCGAACATTCACAAATTGAAGCTAGAATAAAATCAAAACATGGGAAAAAATTTAAGCCAAATATTACATCGCTAGATACTTTATCTTGGCTTTGATTTCCTACTGCTGCGTCTACAGCGATCGTTACTATAGCTTCACATATACAATGCAGTTATTAGTGAACTGAAAAGGCTTAATGTAATACCAATAAAATTTTGTTTATGCAGAAAAGCAAGTAGTTTAAACGATGAACATTTTATAGATCACAAAGCCTTTACTTAAAACACAAAGGTATTGTCGACTCTGTTGCCTTCCTGGTCATAAAGAAGCGGTATTTAATTTAATCAAATTATTTTTAATTGAAAAAAAGTTTATAAGCGTAAGAAACTGTCTGGAGTCCCATTTTTTCTAAACACGAGAGTAAGGTCAACGGGATTAAATTAAAACCGGTTTAAGCTGTCTAGTATTCCTATTGGGTAAGAATCTAAAATTGATTATCCTTATACTTACCCTAATCTTTGTTGTTAGCAGCTTTCTTGTGTTGGGCAGTTAATTGGCACACTGACCTACTTGTGCACGGTCAGATTCGACGCGAAATAGATCTTCTAATCCTCTCACACAGGTCCGCCGTTTGACACAGTGACCTACTTGTGCTTTTAACAAATGAATCCAAAATCCACGAGCATCGATCTGATCGCAAGTCAGGTCAAAGGCGTACACTGTTAATGCATGGTTCATCCAACCACAATCTTACAAATTATTCAAAGCCATTTTGCTGAGTTCAAAGTTTAGGTCTTACTTATTATCCAAGTTTCTACTTAAACCAACTCTGCTGTTAGAGTAGTTGTATTGCACAAATAAACTATGAGTAAAAGCCTAGTTTAAATTGGTAAAATTAACACACATGATAACCTGCTTTTGTAAAACCACCACTTTTTAAACAAACTTAGTTGAAACCTCCAACCCACACTGCTCTGCCACATCATGGGGCTTTTCCGCTACCTTATGTGACACTTGGTATTCCTAAGTTTTTGCAAATAAAATAAACCTTGTGAGGGCATTTAAGTGAATTTTTCCAAAAATATCTACTTCTGTTAGGACCTATTCATTCATGTATATTATTCCTCCACGCATTGCTTTGCCCTGTACACCACAGGCAGTCCTCGGACGTATGACTGTGTAGCCAGAGTTAATAAATTCTAAGTAGGCATCTTCGATCATGCGATTGAGTTATCTTAAACAAATGGTTGTAGTGGGTATAAACGTGTAAGGTTGGTTTCAGGGTTGATAATTAAAATTGTATGACTATGATCTTTTTTCTAGGATTAAAAGGGAAAATTCACTTTGTGTACTACTGTATACCGCCATGGTGCCATTTATACGTGATGGGCCAGATCTCAAGCGCTACCGAAGGATTGTGATCATAGTGTCCATGCCCACAAAGTAAGGCGGTAAATTGCAGAATCTTGCGTCAGAGGGTGTGCTGAGGATAATTTATAGGTCACGACTATCAACACAGCTGAGCTGTTACAATAGGCGCAGCAAGCGACAGTCTGGAATTAAAGCGAACTGCATCATAGGAGGCAAATCAAACTTGAGACAAGGTGTACGAAGGACAACCCGAAATAAGGTGAATGGCTGCAAAGTGGTCAAAACCGTCAGTTTTCTGTCGGAAGGTAATGTACGAAGGCGTCGTTCCGCGAGCGAACGTGCATGCTCTGGATGGCACCCAGGGCGACTGAGGTTACTCCACAGATCAAGTAAGTCACTGTGAATCGCGCTGATTTAATGTTTATTAACCCGGTCGTCGCATTCCCCGACACACCGCCCCTCTTTTCTCACTGTCTGCAATTTCACTTCAACTGTATAGGTCAAAAACCATGGTGTCAAACCCAAAACTTGGTTGAGGCATCGAATAAGTGGATGAGTCCTCCTTCCTCTCTCTCTCTTGGGCACTTCGTGTTGTACCGTGCCGTAAAAAATTTATTGCGATCCCAACTTAGACCAAAAATATTGTTATGGCGGAGGCGCATAAGCATGGATAGGGTGGTAATTTATTTTTTAAAAAAAAAGCAAATTGAATCGACATGATTGATAACTAACATTATACAAACGCTGTACTGTTAGGCACTACAGTTCGGTAGCTTTTCCCAAAGCCAAAAACTTTTTTTCGCCTCGCGCGCCCTCAGCGGGTGCACGCGTGGGCCGTGCGGGCTCCTCCTTGCGCCGACGCGGCGGGGAGAGGGGAGCGGGCTCGGCGAACAGTTCTAGCTGCACGAAGCCCGCGGGGATGAAACCTCGTCTGGGCAGGCTCTGGTCGGACTCGTCGTGCTGAATGGTCTCAGCGTAGATCCAGCCGTCGGTGTCTGGAGTGCCCTGCCATCGTGTGCTTGAGGAAATCACTTTGAGCTCATCGCCGGCTTTGAAGTGCAGAAAGGCCTCGCCGTACTGGGAACCTAAGAGAAGCTGCACCATCAGAGATAGCCACAAAAGATGCAGGGGTACCCAGCACGCCGCATCTATTGCAGGTCTTACTTTAATTGTTGAAAGTTGTTAAAGTGGCAACGTACCTATGCAGATTTCTGCAGTCTGCCTAAGCATAGACTTTAATGCCAATTTTGATTTTGACCAGCATTCAAACGCTGATGCTGGGCTAGAAGGCCATGTGTTTTCATAATATTCGCATGGCATGTGCTCAATGAAATACTGCACAAATTCTGAACAAACCTTGAGGTTTGAGCCATTTTGTTAAGAAAATGCGTTACGTCCATTGAGACAAGTCTATTATGGAGCTGCATTGCATCTAAATCAAGACAGATTCAGTAGACACTACAAACAGGGTCAAGTGAATTGCATGCAAACGCCGTCGATGGCGTTGGTGGTAAAGCAAAGAAAATTCTGAGTTGTCGTCACCAAAGCGATTTGAGGTTGTGTTGAGTGAAACTAGACATGTTTCGCCCTAATGAAAGCCTCTGAAAATTAGCCTCCTAGTCAAACACAAAAATCATTCGATCAGGCGGGTCAAGGTGATTTATGTAAAGTCGCAGCGTCAACATGGACGATGCGTCTACTTTGAGGCCCAAAATTCAGTTTCTATGTAAATCTTAATTGTCCAAATGAGTAGCAAGACGTTTCATTCGACTTATGGCATTTTAGTGCGATTAATTTAGTTTAACTCAATTGACTATTTTCCGGCTCAACTAGTGTTTTAAATATTGTAAAGTGCCACGAACCTTAAACAAGTGCTTAACCTTTTTCAAAAAAATTGAACAGTTTAGTATTTTACCAATTTAATCATTCACATCTTCCGTGTAAGACGATACGTGGGTTTATGCCACCAACTTCCAAGGCTTCATTTCATCACGTCTGAAATGCCTGCGTGCATAAATTGGTGATTTAATTGAAAAAAATACGTTCATTTAGAGCCCAGAACTGAATTTTACCATGGAGACGTGTTCATTGGTAAGCCGAATTAAGCCAAAAGTCCAGACGAGTAATACTGTGAAATTGTAATTGTTGTTGGTGCGCCTTTAAATTTAGGCCTACTAGGCGAGGTAAAACTCTGCTTAAAATCTCATTTGTTTCGAATGATTATTTGGGTTGGCACAAGAAATTGAACTCGAAATGCCTCTACCATACTCAAAAAAGGGTGCGATTTCGTAAACGGATTAAAAGTGACCTACTCTCGAAGTCGTACAGAGCTTTGCATGTTCCAACGACGATTAGGTCACTCGCACTGGACCGAAGAGGTAGTTTTGATTCCGTTAGTGCTTTTCGTGACTGATAATTGGAGCAATTGTGTCTTTTTGGCTGGTGAACAGTCTGGTGGGGACTTATGTTTCTTTGGGGCTTTTGCACCGTCCTACTCCGTTGGCAGTGCGAACCAGGAACCGCTCCGATTATGGCTCCCTTCGACTGGTGGGTATTGGTGTTGGTTGCTGTCCTGATGGACCCGTGGCCGTAGTGTTCGAGTGGGCTCGATTTCTGGAAAGAACTAGGTGATGGACGGGATGGCCTGGGCCTGGATTCGTAAATGCCATTGTTGTCAGATGAAGGTGAAGAGAGCGATCTAGAGAGCTCCGGATTGCTTTGAGCCGCTTCACGGCACTCTGATTTCATGGGCAAAGGAGCACTGCTGGGGGAGAGTGCGAGACGAGACCGCTGCCCTTCCACGTCCACGTCGGAATCGAATACGTCGCCCGAATCTGTGGGTGCCCTCCTAATGTTCTCGTGGTCAATGTGAACTATTTCTCTATTACAAAGGATGAATTACTTGTGAAGATGAAAACTGGGAACGATTGTTGCACACTTTCGCAAGCATTATACAACACTTATCGGGTAATAAACCAGTATTCGTGCATAAAATAGAGCCATTGTACCAAAATCAATGTATAAAATGCTAGCGGTAATATCACGTCATAATTTTTTTATTTTCCATGTGACTTGATGCACCTTTCTAGATGTTACGCACCGACTGCAGTTGAATATTGTCACACATTAAGGACACTACGGCAATTCGTGAAGATGATTAAGACAGGAATTTTCGACTTTAGTGCAAAGATACGAAAACTATAACACGCTTGTAAAGATGGCTGTTATTGTAATCATCTAAAAGGAGGTCACTAAATCAATGAGTTTAAAACCTAAAATGCTCTTAATTCAATAATACTTGCCATAAACATCCACTGCGAGGAACATTCGTCATAGCAAAGTCATAAAACGAAGTCTAGAATTTCGACAAGGAAATGGCTAGCACTGCCTTATGCGCCTTTTATCATGCAAATTAGGCTTTAGAACAACTTCAACACAAGAGATATGTTGCAGTGCTTGAGCCACTCACACAAATTTCGGATTAGTTTAACGACGGACTTTGAAATGCGTCACACCCAACTCCTCGTGCTCTTAATTTTATTCAGGCCTCCCTTTTTTACATTTTTAAAGCCTATGATAAAGTTCTTAAAGGTCCATAGACTTACATTTGCATGGTAGCGATCAGGTAATGCCATTGACAAACTTTACCACATCAAAAATTTCCTCATCATATCTACTATTAACTTCTCAGTATAACGACTTAGTCAACTTACATCCTCCGTGCAAGCGACTCGCGTTCCGACTGTGACCTGGACACTCTGGACCCGTAAATAGGTCCATCAAACTTTCGTTCCGATTCCTTACTCTAAAAGTGGGCAAGAAAAAAAAAGGTAAAGGGTTGAAAACGGCATATCATGGAATACAACTATGCGCCATATTCCGCTATGCGAAATCACAATCAGTAGCATGTGCGAACGTGCTTGATTTGGTGTTAATACTTAGTAGCGCATTTCTCCCGGCTCTCGGGGTACAAACCAGCAGTGCATTAATACCAGATTCAGGACGCTAGTGGCCACGCGCATGTCCGAGTCGCGCAGCGCGCCGCCGTCGGTGGATGCCGCCGTCGACACGACGGACGACGCCGCCGCATCGCCCCCGCGCCGCCACCAACTGCTGCTGACGCTCTTCGAGCGAACGCTACGCCGCCAATGCTGAGTGGCGTCAAGAGAGGCAGCATTGTTCATTCGCTAAATTGAAAATACATGAGGCATTCCTCGTAAAACACGTGCTCCACAATCTACGATGGCTGTTGGATTGCCCGTCTGATTGGCTTCCGAGTGTTTGAGAGAAATGCAATCCCCGGACGTCTGTATTGACAAATGAAGCGCCGCGGCCATATTTATTTGAACTTATACAATTTTACAACAGGTGTTTTTTTAATGAACGCTGTACAGAGATTTTATTTCTTTTTACAAATTGATGAAAATCAGTAAGAGAAAGATAAATTTGTTCCCATTTGGTAAAGGTAAATGTATTGACAATGCGCTTAAATTCAGGTGAAGGTACCAAGCTTTAACAACTAGATTATTATCCAAGCTTATCTTACGATCAATGAATTTATAAAAGACAAAAAATTTCACTCTGGGAAATAGTTTAAATACTCTGCAAGATTAAAATTAGAGGTGTGGTGATTGCAGACCAAATAACGAAAATGTTTCATTTGGAGTGATGCGTAGGACAAAAGTCAGTCCTGTTTGATACTAATCATTGTCAAACCGACCAGCTAACGAAGTCTAGACAGTGTGCTGTGGCTTCCAGTGAGACACATCTCTTTCAATTTCATCAGACACTAGCTTTTGACTTGCGCTAACTCATACCGAGTGCGCTGAAACACCCCAACACGAATGCTTTTACCTGACGCTGACCCTGACTCCAGTGAAAGGAGCCAGATTAGACATAGATTTTATTCCATTAAAAGATTAAAGAATTAGGTGAAAACAACTTGCACGAGATTGAGCCAACTTGCACACTGTTCCAGTAAAAGAAATCAATTTGCCACTCAAACATTCGTTCGGGTTACACCAACCGCCGAAGGGTTGTGAGACACCTGTGGTGAACTTTTGCATTCGAAAATTACTAGAGCCATATTACGCCACTACCACTTTGTGATGGTCAGACACTGTGCGACCTACATCCCATACCAAGTCCTGTTGACACAACATTTAATACTTAAGGAAACTCTTTAAATTTACTCTCTGTTCTTTTTTAAACTGCAACAGTAAAAAAAGGATTCCCGTGTTTATTTGTACTAGACATTGAGTCATTTTGTACCTGGAATAGATGCAACACGATTGCTTGCTAGTAGTCCTCGCTTCAGCCAGCCTAAAGCAAAATATTACGATCGCAGTGGAAACATCAGCGACTCTCAACTCACAACGAATAGCTGAAAAATACCGATCAATCGACCGAACAATAGAATCGTACCTTATTGAGTGTGGCCACCAACGCCATGAAAGCTACAATGCAGCTGATTTGTCAAACCACGCCAAAAGGCATAACCATAACCCCAAACTGGTTCACGAATGCACAATAAGGAATGACCTCTGCCCATGACACCATGTTTGCTTGGAAATGAGTAAATTTTACTATTCAATGTATTAGAAGGACTTGATTAATTGAATTTCAACAGGGCTTTCCAAGACCACAAAATGAATACTCGTTAACCGCGGGGTTTCATTGGTACTTCTGTGGATAGTTATTGTATGCGAAAGGCATAAAAGATTTAGTTTTCTAGGATGTGAAAGGTCAATGGTCAGAGCCAACCTTAGTACATAGACGAACCTCAAAAATGACCCGTAAATTTGGGGAGGAACGAAGTACAAATTTTACCCAGGAAACTAGGCAAACGCACTTTGCTTTTGCGAGAGAACATTTTCCACAAGAAGGATGAATGTCCATTTCCGTTTCCCGAGGTACCTAGTCCCACTGAACTCACGCTGAAACGTCGCATAGACCTGGAGGTACCTTGGAATTGCGCCGCAGACCCTGTGGGAAGGCGACGAGTCTCGGTTGGCTCCACGAGAGGGTCCGCTCCAGAGAAGGGGCTGCAGCCGCTGGCTGTCTTCAGGGAAACCTGAATGGCTGCACAGTAGCTGCTTTTCTCCGGGGTTTCTGCATTGGGTGGCCTGCAGCTTGGCGCAGAATGAGCCCCGTTCGACTGTACACCAAATGAAGGAGGGTCGTCGATTTCTAAATGCATGACGGGAATGTCTCCTGGAGGCTCATTCCCCGTGCGCAGCCGCTCGATCAACGCAACGGAATCCTGGACAATCAAAAGCTATCGTGGTTACCTGTGCTTGAGTTTAATACTAGGAATGTCTTAACAAAATCTGCTTAAATGTTAATTCGGGTCTGCTTGAAATGGCTGGATTTACATCATCGATGGGTGACCTGAACACTTAAATTCTTTAATCGAACCAAAATTGTTAGCTTATCATATTCTACACGCCGTTTTGCTTAAGGTAAATATCGGCAACCATCACACCACTTACATTGTTTGAATGCACATTCCTTTAATACAATCACGGTAAAATCGTTCCTACATAGTGAGGAGAGATGAAAACAATGTGTAGGAGTTCTTTGAATGGTTTTATAAGCACAGACACGTGCAAAAAGTGAGAGGACCGAGCTTCCGCTAAATGTAACCACTAAAGCATCATCGTCATTAAGTTACTCACTTTCCAAACTGCACTTTCAATTATCACAGTTCATTTAGTGAGCATTTACGATTATAGGGGCAGTTTAACAAGTAATGCGAAGAGATGTTGGAGCTGAAAAGTCGGAAGCGACAAAACCTTTTTCACCTGGTGATTGAAACTGCCTTCTCGTCTTTCTTCAGCAAGAAACCGCATTCATTTGCGACTTGGTTTCTATGACAACCTTCACAATTATACTAGCGCGATTAGAAAAAAGTAGTAACCGATGCCAGATAGATACTAGAAGAATAAGTTAGCAACCGAAATGGTTATGGTGATAGTAAACACTACAGCGGTCACTCTTATTTGGGGATGAACGTCTCCTTATTGCGGCTCCATGTATTCTAATTTTTTGTTATTATTCTTTATGACGGAATGCTTTAGGAAACTCGTTCTGTAGTTTAAACAAATTTACCAAACACGTGAAGCCTAAAAAAGACCCCACTCGCAATTTCTAGAATTTCGCCGAGTGCGTATGCCTGGTTGGTGTGATAAGAGATAGAATCTATCGATTCGTCACGCTTGTTCAGTCTCACACTGCACAGGAAGTTTCCATCTAACGCAAACAAGTTTAATCTTGCTGGCTGAAAGATCACACGAGTAAGGATTGAATAAATTAAACTTTCTGTTAATGAGATGCCGTACAAAAGACTTCGCAATTTGCCATGCAGAATGGATCGTGGAGGTCTGAACACGCTGTTCCATCGTTGCGTGGACGCTCGTTAGATGAGGTGAACACGTCATTGTAGCCATCGTGCCAGTCTTGAATTTTAAATCAAGTTAAAATACCGACCAAACATTTATTACCAAAGTAATACAGAACGCAATCGTCAGTGATTGGATCGGTCATAGCAACACCAAATCGCTTTACAAAAAAAACTTCCTGTTAAGTACTTTTGCTCTACATTTTTACACAGCAGCTAATACTCCAATACGACGTTGGGATATACTTTTGCAGAAATGATAACCTGGGTATGCTAACCTGCTCTAATTTAACCAAGGTTATAATAAGTGCTGTCAAGTTCACCAGGGATATGCGACAGTGTTTCGCCACCACTAGAAGCCAAGAAGGTAATTTGTGTAGCGCCGTGGTAGTTAGTGAGGTCGCTGTACATGAACATGGTCGAACAATAGGCGCGTGTTAATTAAATGCCGCCGTCAAGTTACGAATACCGATCGCCAGTTAAGACGCCATATAACGTTCGAAGCGAAAATGGAATATAATATTAGGAAATGGTGCCTTGTTATAAAACTGAGTGAATGAATAAAATTAAAGGTTAGTGTTGACGTTCAAATTTCGGCTTAAGTGGATACAGCAGGAACTCATTAGCCACTAACCTAATGCATCTGTGCTCCATTATTTGCAAAATTAGTAAGGCTGCTTCATAATTTTGCGGCATTTGACATAAGTTATCAAGGGGACTATAGCCTTGCGCTTGCACCACGATGTCGCGCAATAGAGCATGAATTAAGTAATCGAGACTTTTCACAACTTACAGCGTCTAAAACACTGTAAGTTTCGAAGCTCTGAGCCTTTTCTCTCTGCATCGCACTTTAAAACCCATCTTCACAAGCCAATAGAATTGCCAAACGTCCCACAGATCAAAGAGGATTAGCCAATACTTCTGGATGCTTTCTTAAATCTGCCTATTTAAACCGATTTCGTGGAGCTGACCTTTGCTGACTGCATGAGTGCATCGAACGGGAAGCTCAGCGATTTTTACTTCAGGTTTTTTAATCCGGAAAATACCTGTAACGAGTTCGCCAGGTTGCGTGCACAAGCGTGCCTTTTGCACAAGGCACGCAGATTTTCTCGCGCTTGAAGCACGCGGATCGGAATCTGGGTCGGGGGTGGGGGGGGGGCAGAGGGGGGGACAAACTTTGAACCAAGCACACCTCAAGTGTGCGAACTATCTACATGAGCAGGAAAGTGTCGGTGGTTGTGGCGGAAACAACGACTCGTCTCCAAGGTCATTCTGCTTGAGGTAACATCACTCATGGCTTCGTGACCTCTAACTGATTAGACAAAAATAGGCGTGGGTTGCATGCCTTATGCGTAAACAAGGTGATGAAAACCAACTACTCGATAACAGTATACAAAAAATCCCTGATTTATCACCTCAGAAAGAAAGTGAATTTGGTCTACCTAAAAAGGCATCATTCAGCCGGAAGCACATTTAATTGCTGATCAAAAATTTCAGTGCAATTATCAACGCCACGAATTCACATTGAGTGGCGCTGCAAGTTTGTGTTGTGACAAAATGTCACAAGGCAGATTTGGTCTGGCTTATCAAAACTTGAAGCTGATTACGCAAATTATGTCAATTTGTTACACTTGAGTTTTGTAAGCTAGACAGTCTTCTACAAAGATTCCTCTTTTGCGCACTTAAGACAACTCTACAAGGTCCTTCTATGCCCAAACGCAACCAGACAAAGTATGGGATAGAAAAACACTTCTCAAACCAAATAAACTCTCATCCACTCATACATCCCATGACTCTCTGTAGACTTTTATGACGGCTGTGACAGCCCGATGCCTGACGAGGGTTAAATGGAGCATCCACAAAAGAATTGTTGATTGTACATGCACAGTTTCAAATCGGTTACCTTTTAGACTATAACGACATATAACTCAATGAATACTTAAAGCCCGATTTCATCAGACAAAAGACGATCTGAGAAACCGCCTGAAGAGTGCTGCTGACTGGAATAAACTTTAATGTGAATGGTTTCAGATATCCTGCAGGGAAAAGCTCCCATCAACAGAATAATGTTAGGTTCCATGGTATCATAGTATCAGTAATGCAAGTAGAATACTTGTTCATTTATGTGTCTTTCCATGCTACTGAAAAATAATTGAACGCAAACTCAACAAAATGGAAACCATGACATCGTTTAGCGACACGGGGCAAAATACAGGCATTGGACCAGTGAGGCACGTGTTTGATCAAATGACGTACTTATTTGAATGAAAAAAATTAAGATAGAAACGAAAGTACAAAGGCTTAGAAATGGCTCAATGAGAACCTATATGTACAAACCTTAACTATGATGAAATACCATGAAGCCGTTTAATGTGAACTGAAACTGAGCCTGACAAAGGCCTGCAAATGGTGACTTTTACACCACTAACAACAAAACCTTTCTGTGACGCAAACAGGACCAAGTGACTTATTATTAGTGCATCAGTGTGTGCTTATGATATCCACTTTTTATTGTATTAATGGGCAGAGGTTAATGAGAAATATGCATGAACACACGCAAAAATGGACGATCAACTGATGTTTTCGGTTCCTCAACATTTTTATCAAATGACAGGGAATTTATAGAAAAAAGGACATTTATCTCAGACACGCTGTGCTGTTCTCATTAACTCTATTATAATACACAGGTTTACCCCGCAACAAATTCGCACAACAAGTTTCGCATATATCAATCAGCAACGTACACTGACATCATATCAGCCGGTACGTTCTTGGAGAGGACGAATTCATACTGCCTACCATAAGGGGCTACTATTGAGGTTTATTTGGAAATTTCCCACACACGATCTCTGTTGGCATCGCTAAATGCTAATACTGTGTGCTACTGACTAATAGGCTTTGTACTTTGCGGTCCCAAATGTACCGTAGACATACAGACATCCATGCTTAGCTGCCTGTTTATGCGGTGGAATTGCGATTTTGCACATATGACGTAAAAGGTTCACCACCACGCCGCATCCCTCTACCTTATTTTGACTTTAGTGCACGATTTGTAAGGGTTCAATGATAGCATCAGGTCGAAGAGCCAAAGAAGTGAAAGTGTTTTGTGCGTGAATAAAGGAAAATTATTTATACAACTGCAGTGATTGTGAGGAATAGAAGGATGAGAACGAAATTTCAGGTACTTCACCTTCTAAAACACTCACTAGAAATCAAATTTGAGTGACAAACCACAAGCATCCCACAAAACCTACGCATTGGCTACACACCGTCACACCTATGTGGCAGCCTGAATGATGATAAATCTAGGACGAAAAGCGAAAAGATTGTATCTTCCCAAACAGGAGGTGTTTGAAATGTCGACTGTGGTCACGCATCAATAAGTTTATAATTCGTCTTTAACAATTATGTAGGTACAGACACACTAGAAAGGCATTATTGGGAGGGAAGTAAATTTACAATACTTAAATAAGCATAGTATCGGGAATATTTATCGTAGAAACTTAACGTTTTTTTTCAACAGTCACATTTAAAAAAATAACGAAATTCTTCTTCAGTCGATTCAAATTATAAACTGTTCTAACACGGGATCATCAAGCCTGCTACCGGTGAATTGTGATGGTTTTTTGGATATTTTAGCACGCGGCTTAAACACCGACACGACCAAAAAGCGAGATATTTACATCGAAATCAGTAGGTGAACGAATTACATTTTTAAATGCAAACTAGTCACGCTTCTTGATAAAACTTTTACATATAGCGTGCTCAATGCTGTAATGCATTGTACCTAGCGTGTTTTGTGATAATTACCGCGCACAATATTGTTCTTTTCAAACTCAACATGTTAATGATACTTTATATAAAACGATAAATAAATGAAAAAGTAGAAAAAAGGGGCAGTAGCGGGACTTGAACACAAGGCACACGCAAACGTTGCCTGCCTTTAAGGCGCTCACTCGCTCGCTAAATTCTCAGGTTTACTCCCGCATAAGTCATCTGTTAAAAATTACTATTGGTTTTCTCAGAAACTACGACCTCTCTGGAGAAACGCTGTCGGTTTGGTTTTGAGAGTGAATTCTTCTTCAATGCACTGGAGACTTAAAAATCAGGTTGTAACAAGGTTGATGTCTCTTTTGTGACGCAACTCAGAGAAAACGACTTTATTTAGATTTTAAACACAATAACAAAATACAACTGCTATATATCCTCGAAGAAGGTAAGACTAAAACTTATCTGGGTCACATTATGAACTCACCTTCTCTGCGTCCATAGTGGCTGCCGCAACTTCAAGGTCGGTGCAAACGGTAAGCAAGCGGTCAATCATTACCCGAAGGCGCTCAACCAGCACAGATATTATTTCCTGTGTTTTTGTTACTCGAAATGACTCGAGTGCTTGACCAGCTTCGCCCCATCTTTTCAGAGTATTACCGTAGTGATATCGACGGTTCAAATTAAATTGGTCCAAAGCTGCCACGTAATCGGAATGGGCACGCTTGAAATCACTATGTTTCTGACTGTACATTTGAAGAGCCTTAAAATACCAAGAGGAACACCGTGCAGTTAGCATGTGGAAATATTTCATGCACAGCATTTATAAAAGAATGGACTTATTGATCTGAGAAAGTTCATTCGAAGTTAGGAGCAAGTCTTTTAAGGTAACCGCAAATCAGTGACAACACTCAAATTGATGCATTTCGTTGCAGATGCCATTTTATATTTTTAAAAGAACGGCCTGGGCATAAATGTTATGCTAAAGTGAGCAGGATTTTAGGCGTGTCGGATTACACGGCACGTACCTGATAACTTATGGTTTGAAAAAACGCCCTGTCATAATTTCAATTCTCTTTAATCACGCATTCAAGGTGATTCTGGAAATAGTTACTTAGAATTAGTTTGTGATAGGTCAGTACACCTGGTGTAGTTCATGATGTCTCTACCTGAGCCCCAACCACTGACAACACACTCGATTGACACCTCCACTACTTTAATGCAATGGTGAGAAGCTAGGTGTTTTTGTAGGCCGCAGAAAAACACTTATGGCCACGTAGGACATCCAAAGTTAGAGGAAAAGGAAAAATCGTCAAAGTATCTAACCATGATAGTATCTAGAAGGACATAAGATGCAGGTCAAATCAAATCAAAGTTAATCACGCCAAAATACTATGAAATTAGCAGGAATACTGACAACGCCTTCTCTAATTGTGAACGAGTGCTGTTTTGTTGACACAATTTGTAAAGCAATGTTCTTACTAGCGCGTCGACCGGCTTATTAAAAATGTTTGATAAAATTGCTTCTCAAAATAATTTCATCTAGGAATACTTAATGTCATAGGAAGAGTAAAAGATTTGGATGTGTACAAATTCCTGTTTAAATCATTTTAAACCAATTAATCACCCAAAAAGCCTTATAAAGCGTCTTTTGAGCCTAAATGAAGTTTTTTTTTCAAGACCATTGGCGTCTGGTACAATCACGCCTCATTTTCCAAAACAAAAATGTGCATTATATCAGACATTTGGATTGTAGACATTTAACTGTCCTAAGAAAGAAAATGAAGTTATAGCTTCCGTACTATTACAAGGTTATGTTATTTTTTAGACATCCAAAAATATTGCATATTTTAGGGAATGTATGATTGTAAAATGCAAGAATATTTCATTAAAATTACCCTACGTTTGCTCAATCTAGCTATGAAAACCTCAAGCATTTAATTCACTAGCCCAAAGTGAATACTTATGATTTTTGAATACGTGACATCATTTTAAAACCTTGTGCATAGACGTCAATTAATTAACTATCGATCTTCGAATCTCATTCGAAAATTGAATTTACATTACCAAATCACAAAATAACAATACTAGATTGAGATTTACGGGTGAATAAAGTGGGACGCACCACTAGAAATACACACATAAAAGATTCCTCGAACATTGTAAAAGAACACGATAGATCTATCAGTTTCTGGACCGAAATGCAACAAAAAGAAAGTGTAGATAAGGCATAAAAATTAGGAAAGTTAACACATGAAAGATATTACAAGAACTTACACGCTCGACATCCAACTTTGAACACAACTTATCCTCTTCCATTTTTTCATATTCTGCTTTGCTGCGGATGACTTCACGGTATTTATCATGGTATCTCCTGATTTCTTCGTCAATAATTTTAGCTTGTGATTTTGCTTCATATTGAAAACGGTCTTTCTCTTGCCTCCACTGCTTAAGATTCTTCTTTTCTGTTTCAATTGACTGCTTCATCTCACCATTCGCTTGTAAATTAAATGAAACGGGAAGAAGATTTTCGGTATCGACGAGTTTGGCGATTGCGTGAATAAACGAGTTGTAGCCTCGCCCATAGGACGTTTCAAGGCCAATAACTTTCTTCACATTAATCAAAGCTTTTTCACATAGTCTTCTAAGACACAACTGTACGAATACCAAGTGTACTTTTGGACAATGAACGAGTCTCCTTGCAACCTGGCGATTTCGATTAAAAATTTTTGTAGTTTCTCGTGCAAATTGATTCCAGTTTCCTGATATTTAACAAGGTTCGACGTTTGATCCTTTATAATTGATTACTAAAGTTGTACATTACCCATAATTGTACGCCCCAAGACTTCTCAGCTAACATCCCATAAGCTGTCTTCGCGTGTATCTGTTAGGTTCGGTGACTTGAATAAGGCGCTGGAATCTGATTTGTTATTTTAGCGTCAGGAACATCATCAATATTTTTTGCCATCGAGTGAGCATTTATCCATAAAATCTGTTGCCTTCTAAATCTGGACCTTGTAATTGTACACTTTTTAGAGTATTGTAAAAAGTGCAGTAAATTATAACATGCAGAAAAATGTAAAGTGAGTAGCCGAGGGCATAGAAATAAAAAGTAACTTCACCAAAAAAGGAAACGTGAGTGTACAAACGATGCTTTATTTTGCACCCAAGGCAAAGTTAATCAAGGAAACGCAAAAAAATTGTTGGCTACAGCTTAAAAGTGCGTTTTGACGTAACAGTAAATGCATAAGTGAAATAGTATCCTCCAAAACCTGAAGAAAGTCATTTAAAACGTAGTTGAATATTACCATATATTATTCCATAAAGTTACTGATACTTCAAATTGTAATTGTTGACCAACTGCAACCTAAAATTTAATTTGACGAAATCGTATGGACCGACAGCTAAAAAGGGCATAAATCAGTGAAAAAAGAGATATATTGATTGGTATAGTTTTAGCTGGCACTTACCATCCCTATTCATATGTGGTTATCAATTTGTTGACTGCCGTTTTAGTCCAAACATTAAAAAACTAAAGAAAGGTGTCTGTTGCATTTTTATGCCCACCCAATCAAGGCACTAGTCACTTTTTTCAAACAGAAAATTAACATAACAAGAGCTTCAGGAATTCGGAAATTTAAACATATATTGACCAACATCAGTAACATTTCTGCAATTCCGATTCATCAGAACTCTTCAACTGGGATTTTTTTTTTAAAATTATATTCATAAATAAATGCATTGAATACTATAATAGAATATGACTTTCGGATACTACTTCCATAGTCTGTCCACAAATGCTCGTCATGCTAATTTTGTTTTTAATATCAGCACATTACACAATCGGTAACTTGTAGAACATTTTATTTTGATGCAAAACTCAACCATCTTTTATTTCTTTTTATTTACACATAAAAACTGCTGTCATCTCTGTATACGTTGCTCAGATGTAATATGCCAGCTCATTGACGCGATCAAAAGAAATAATCCAATGTCTACAGTAGGCTTACAATGGCTTTTGAATTTTGTAAATTCCTAGTAATTCGATTAATCCTGAGCTAAGTTATGTCGTGAGTTCGTGTTTGTGTAGCATAGACGAGTAGCATGAAGTAGACTTGTAAGGCAGTGTTTGACACCACAATAATACAATCCACAACCGTCTATCATCGTTAGTCTTCTTGTGACTTATATTCTGGCTGCAAATCCTGCTGTTTTGTAGCTTTCATCTGTTAATAATTACCATTCGCCACTGACCTTCCGTAAAAGACTTTTAACCTCATTGAGACAGGGGGTTCCCTCATCTCGTGATGCAATATTATTGCGCCTATTAGCGGCACAACGGTTGATACAATTGTAGAATACCAGAGCCCTAGCATAAAGAAGACCGATAAAACACATCAGGTTTTATTGCCCAATCACAAGTCAGAACTACACGTAAGGCGCCGCCATCCGAATCCAACTCGCTGGCTGCACTGCGCATTGTGCACCGCTTCTCTTATTTACCTGTCTCTGGTTGGCTGCATAACTCCCTCGAATGCCGTTGGAAATCAGAGAGACAGAGAATTGTCTGAGGCTGGCGTGGCCCTATGTCTGCGCCCTTTTACGTCGCTAAGCTGCCTCCCCCCATGAGAAAAGCTGTCCTTAGCTTCTAGCTTGATTCACCGCACTGTTCATGATTAACAATATATCCAGTCCGACACTCCCCGACATCCCACATCTGTCAGAATAGTGGCCCAAGCGCATAGTTGACGAGGGACTTTGCTCTTGTTGACTTGCAGGAGAGCCGCTTCATCCATCGCAAGTTCTTTCTCCACTTGCATTCCTGTTGGCTTTTACCGTCTATGTCGTCGCTGATCTGCCAATGCCTCTTCAGATGCAATAGTCCTAATCCCAGACAATGTCTGTGGATCCAGTGTATGGGACATCGGATGAGAGCCATGACACCTTCAGCTGGCATTTAAGGGTCTTTGCCTTTGTTGACCATTTCATGAGAACGGCTGAGGTCCGATTCGGCTTATTTGAATGCATCCGCTGACGCTAACGCAGAATACCCAAGCCCTAGTAGGGAAAAGACCGGTACAACAGAACAGGCTTTATTGACCAATCAGAGGCCAGAGCCACGCGTCAGGCGCCTTCCATCCAAGTCCACCACGCTGGCCACGCCGCTCATTATATACTGCACCTCAGTTGTTTGGTTCTCTGGTTGGTTGCTTATCTTCCTCGCACGCCATTGGAACACAGAGGGACACA